AGAACAGGGGTGAAAAGTGTGCTGGTTGGGAGAAGGAGGTGTGGGTGGGAAAAATTTCACTGTAGTAAATATCCATCATAATCAAAGAGAGCTTATCTTCTGCTAACCTATGGGTTATATATAATATCTCAGATTGTGACTCATACTTGTATAGTTCTGCTTGGCTTTATGATTGAAAATAGACTTCCACACTTTGTGGGTGAATCATACTTTTTTTTTTTTTTTTTTTTTAAAACAACATACATTTTCCCTGTTGTAATTTGACAGAGTGTTTTTATCTTCTCATCAGCTTTCTATGATGTCTCTCTTACTCCTGGTTATTTTAGTTGCAAGTATGCTGACGCTACTAGATCTAGCTTAAGTCAAAAGGAGAAATTTGTCATAAGGAAGTATTTTCAAGATAGCAAATGCAGGAAGTTTTGCTGGGCCTTATAAGGAAGAGGGAACTGAAAAGCTATGGGGACCCATAGTTTGCACACACTCTCTCTCTTTTCTTCTGTGGCATTCTTTTCTCCTACAGCAAATCAGCTTTCTGTGCAAGAATGAAGATGGTAACCTCATAGTGGCAGCCTTAACTTTATAGCATGGGTAACCTCATTTCAAGTGAACAGAAAAGTCTGATTTGCTGTTTTTGAATCCCAACTCCAAATTCCCCAGGAGCGAGACTCTGATGGCTCAGCTTGGTCCAGTCAAGGGGTGTGGGAAGCAGGGTCACAAACTAGAACATAGGAGCCAGAGGCTGGCTACTCTGGGTGAAGAGGACCGTTCTCAGCAAAGAGGACAGAATCCTTAATCTAAATTAGGACTCAGGAATTAAGTCTCTGAGTCTCTGTAAACTAACAATTATGCTAGGGTTTTTTTTTTTTTTTTTAATTTTTTTGGAGATGGAGTCTTGCTCTGTTGCCCAGGCTGGAGTGCAGTAGTGTGATCTCAGCTCACTGCAACCTCCGCCTCCCAGGTTCAAGTGAATCTCCTGCTGCAGCCTCCTGAGTATCTGGGACTACAGGCACATGCCACCATGCCTGGCTAATTTTTTTGTATTTTTAGTAGAGACAGGGTTTCACCATGTTAGCCAGGACGGTCTCGATCTCCTGACCTTGTGATCCACCTGCCTCAGCCTCCCAAGGTGCTGGGATTACAGGCGTGAGCCACTGCGCCTGGCCGAAATTTTGTTTTTAAGAGTGAATGTTGGTATAAATCCTTTCACACACACAAAAAATGTTTTTAGTGAATAGGTAACTATATGTCTACCGGTTTTATTTTTTTAAAGTAGGGCATAGTTATAATTGACATTTTACATATTTTGCCACATAATTATCCTCACTTGAAAGAGGTTATTAATTCTTGGCTTACAAAGGGAAAACTGTTTTGGTTTTCAAGCACCAAAGTTTAATACATCCAGTTATCTCAAGGGAATGAGGGATCTGTTCACTAGGAATATCGTTTTTTTTTTTTTTTTCCTTTCCTTTTTGTGATTGAAAGGAAGAGTAAGAGACAGGGATATGCTGAAGTACAAAGGAGGTTTTGGAAAATTCCTTTGCCATAGCCAACCAAATTTTGGAATAAATGGTGCTAAAATATCTGGATGATTTGTAGTAAAAAACATTGCTTGCATGTCTGTCTACTTGATTAATACCCCTTGCCTTTGTCTTTTGGTTTATAATCCTACATTTGGAATAAATAAGCCTCTCTCCATAGTTTATTCCTTTCTGCCTTCAGAAAAGTACACCTTCCCTATTTTGGAAAGAAACTAACTCCTGGCCTCTCCCCAGCCCTTTGGTTTTGAGCCTGTTTCCCTTTCCAAGGACTTTCCTGCATCTTTTTTTTGTATGCTCAATTTATGTCCCCCCTTAAGAATGATGTTTTCACAATCTCATCATTTAATGATATAGTTCTATTTTTTAAAATTCAGATGGAGATCTTCACATTTATCTCTATTACAACTCAGCCCTTATCCTACCAGCCCACACTTTCCTGTGTAGTGCAATAAACTGTGACACATACTTCAATCTTCCTAATAAAATTAAACAAATTTCTTACACCTCCCAGCTTGGTTATATCTGTAAATTGGTTCTGCCACAGATATAATAGGCATTTGATAACTGTGCTAAGGGTTTTAAAATACTTTTTCACCTAATCTTCAAAATCTCTCTACAGGGGAGATTATTATCCTCATTATACTGATGAGGAAACAGAGGCTTAGAAAATCTAAATAAACTTTCCTGGCAAAAGCTGTGATTGAAAGAAACCTGGGTGGTCTGGACTCTAAAGCGTAAGTTCTTAAACTCTTGGCCATGGATTTTCAACTGCGGCTTTATGTCAAACCACCTAAAAATGTTAAAAAGATATAGAAGCCAATGTGCCATCTCACACTTACTGAGGCAGTCTCGTTGTGGTTGGGGGCGGGTTTGGGCATAGCAGTCAAGAATCACCGCTGCCATGCTGGCCAACACTGGAAGGACAAAAGCTCAAGACACTACACACAGCCCCATAGTCAACAGCTAGCTGTTAATTTTTCCCATTGGATCTTGCCACAAAGTTTTGAATCTAAATGTGTTACCTTACAGCTCATATTTCTTGTTTCTTCATATTGTGTGAATGTTCTGAAAGACTTCATCAAATTCCTTGGAATTCTTTCCATCATTATCAAAGAATAGGGGAAATTTCCTGAAATGTTTGCCTTGAGGAGCAAATTTCTAGTGATGCCACTACCAGGAATCACATAAAGAGTTCAAAAGTTCTGTTAATACCCAGAGTGAAAAAAGCTCAACATTCCAGGGTAGCATTGACTTAAAATCATGTCTTAGTGATGAGGGAGGCTTTCACTTTCTGAATGACAGAAGGCAAGTTGCTTCATCTTTCTCTGTGGGTAGACAGAAGATTTCTCAATTCTATAGGCTTATGAATAATATACCCCTTGTCCACCTTGTCTTCCATACCCACATCTGTAATATTAAGAAAATACTCTGCTCCCCCACAAAAATATCCTCAATATTCACCAATTCTAAATGGCTTCTCCCTGCAAACAGGCTGTGGATAGTAACAGATACCATGCCTAGTTACATAAGCATATCACTGCAAAATATAGAAACATCACTTATAATGGAAATAATACTGTTTCAGAGTTCTAAAACAAGCATTTTTTCCCCCTCACAAAAGATCACATTTCCATTTCTACAGTTCTGATGCTTTTCATTTAACCATGACATTAAGGTCATCTTCAGCTCTCCTTCCTTGTGTGGGTCTGTATTCTAGCTTTTACCCCAGTAACAGTTTTTGTTTGCAGGAAAATAAAAAGAACTCTTTTGGTAGTCTTTGTTTGTAATTGCAGCCTTGATATTCTAAGCCACTGAGTCACAATTAATAATTAGAAATTCTAATTAACTTTGCCCATATATTGCCTATGAAGCAGTTGCCGTAGGAATGCAATTTTCCTGTAAATCCCTCCCTCTTACACAGCTCTAGTTCATTATTTACTTTAAAAGAGTCAGGGTGAATTCAAGTCATTTCCTATGCTGCTATCATTTGCTTAAAGACCTTTTGCAATGGGTCTTATGTAAGAAGAAATGCAGGAGTTGCTTTGGTGAGGTTTAAAGAAACCAGTAAGTACAAGACGGACCTGAATAGCAGCATCACTTGTGTATGGGGAAACAGGAGCTATGAATGCGTCACTTCATTTAGGTTGACAGAAAGAGGGCTAATACTTGAAAAAAGCCCTACACGATCTGTTGCCAGGCTACTTCTTTGGCCTCACTTCTTACCACTGCCCCCTCCTTCAGTGTCCTCCAGCCACAGTGATCTCTTTCCTGATCCTTGAACCTGCCAAACACATTCCCTTCTCAAGGTCTTTGCTTTCAGGAGTCCCTCTGCCTGAAATTGTTTTCCCAGACAGTCATGGGACTGGTTCATTCTCATCCTTTAGATCTCTGCTCAAATGTCATTTATTCTAGGAAATCATTCCTGGCCACCATGAAACAGCACAGCCCCTCTTCACTTTCTACTCCTTTTCTTTGTTATTATGTATATGGCAGCAGAAAATTACGCATTTTCTTAGTGGCAATTACACACCCCGCACATTATGCATTTAAAGCGTTGTTTGTTATTTTGTCGCTTCCATCAGAATACAATCCAGTAGGGCAAGGAGTGTGTGGGGTAGTGTTCACTTAGTATCTTTGGGGACTTACAGCCTGGCACCTAGTAGACACTCGGTAAATATCTGAATAAATGAATAAGGTCCTTTGGCAGCCGGGAAGCCCGTCACAGCCAGTGTCTCCACCCTCTCCTGGGCTACACCAGGCTACGCCGGTAAAGTTATTTCTCCTCTAGGAGAAACATTCGCTAGGCCTTGTCGCCAACCCGCAGACAGCAGGGCGCTTCATCCCACCTTCACCCCTTTCCAGCCAGGTGCCTGATCGGAGTCAGGCGCTGGAGGTCGCATTGCCACGAAACAGCGCGTGTAAGCTCGTTGTCCCCGGACCCCGGCGCCACTTCCCCTCGGCCTAGCAGCCTGGACTGGGGAAGTACAGGTCTGCTGTACCCGGGAAGTGGAAGGAAAAGCAGAAAGCGGACAAGTGTGCGGGAGGGGAGTCTCCGTGCGGAGGCAGCCCGGCCTCCTCCGGTGCAGGCTGTGTTCTGGAGGGGCGGGCGCCAGTCAGGCTGACTCACTCCCGGCCGCTTCCCTGGCGGGCGGCGGCCACACACACACACCCGCCCATCTAGTGAAGCCCGGGCCCAGCGCTGGCACCTAGCTCCAGCCAGGCACCAGTGTTTCGCGAGGCGGCGCCGCCGCCTTAACTTCCTTGCGCGCTCACGCCCAGGGGCCGTCCCAGGAATCTCCACGCGCGCCCGCCGTCTTCCCGAGAGGCCGCCGCCCTGCGTGGCCCGCGCCCGCAGGTCCCGCGGCCAGCACCGAGGGGCGCACGCGCACTGCGGAACACGCGTCCGGCTCTCCCCCAGCTCTCCCCCAGCGTCTGTCCGGCCCAGTCTCCTGCCAGTCGGGGAGACTGCAGGCCAACCTGGAGGCTGAGTTCGAAGCTAATAGGGCGACCAAGTCAGTGTCGCCCGCGGCGTTGAGAAGACGGTTTGGCCTAGGAGAGGGTGGAGACAACTGTGACGGGCTTCCCGGCTGCCCGAAGTGGGAGTGGTGTGGGGCTGCAGGAAGGAGAGAGGAAGAGGAGCAGAAGGGGGCAGCAGCGGACGCCTCTAACGGCCTCCCTCGGCGCTGACAGGCTGGGCCGGCTCTCGGCTCGCTCGGGTGTTCTCGTCGTCACTTCGGCCTCTCGGCCGCTCGGGCCCCTCGGCCCGGGCTTGCGGCGCGCGTCGGGGCTGAGGGCTGCCGCGGCTCAGGGAGAGGCCTGGTCCTCGCCGCGGAGGGATGTGAGTGGGAGCTGAGCCCACACTGGAGGGCCCCCGAGGGCCCAGCCTGGAGGTCGCTCAGAGCCGTGCCCGCCTCGGGGCTTCGCAGACCTTGGCCCGCCGGATAGGAGCCGCCCCTGCGGGCTCAAGGGCGCACTCTGGTCGCCCCATCTGTGTAACCGGTGGGTGTTATCTCTGCCTGGCTTCTGGGTGGGGGGCAGCAGTTGTCTCTCCACCCCCTTCTTACCTTCTGATCCCGCCTCCCCCCTGCTAGTGGCAGCAAACTTCTGAGCCAGAAAAATCTTCCTCTTTAAGACGACACCTAGAACGAGTCTTGCTAGTGATATTTGCTTCCATTTGTGTCTTATAATTCCCGCACCCCCCACCTCCTTATTCCTTTTTAAAATTTTCTAGACACTTAAACAGCCTAGAAAAAGCATCTGTTTCTCCTGGACTTATGTGGTAGTAGTAACTGCTGCTTTTTTTTTTTTTTTAGGTTTCAGAAGAAGGCAACAGGAACAAGATGTGAGCTGTTTCTCTTCTGCAGAAAAAGAGGCTCTTCCTCCTCCTCCCGCGACGGTGGGTGTGCTGTCCTTTATCGCTGCAGTAAAGGCGAAGAAGGTGTCGCGAGCTGGGAGTGCGTGCGTAGGAAGGCTGGAAGCGTGTGAAAACAGGCAGGGCTCATTGTTGCTTACTCCTCTGAAAATGTCAGTGCTAAACTTTTAATGTTGATATGCGAGAGTAATTTTGGGGTGTTTTGTTCGTCTTGGATCCTTTAAGAAACATTTTTTTTTGTTGGCTTTACACATAACATGACTTTGCAGAGAAATGTAAAACGTTGTCCATTACCCTTTCTTCTTAAACAGCCAGAGGTTCTTAATCCTTCAAAGAGGAATATTTCCAACCAATAAGAGATAGCTTTTGTGAGAACACGTTAGCTATTCTTGCTGGGGTTTCTGCTACCACACTGAATGCTTCCTGATGGTTTTATCTGCCTAAGCTTGTTGTGTCGGTTGAATTTACCCAGTTTGTTTTCCGGTAATCACTAATCTGTCAGGAGAAACTCCATTTCTCTGAATGAAAGGATAGTAGCGGCTTAGTATGGAGAAGGAAACTAGAAGTGGGAATAAGGGAGATGATTGCTCTTGGTTTCATAATAAGTTTTTACAGTGAGTTGGGCTACTGCAAATAAATATTTTGTATCCCTTCTCCAGAATGCTTGGGACCAGAAGTGTTTTGGATTTTTTTTTTTTTAATTTTGGAATGTTTGCATATACAAAATGAGCTATGTCAAGGATGGGACCCAACTGTAAATACGAAATTCATGTTTCATATACACCTTATTCACACAGCCACTAAGTCATTTGCAATATTTTTACATCTGTGCATGAAACAAAGTTTGTATTAAGTACTTATGCAGGGAATTTTCTCCTTGTGGCATCATGTTGGTGCTCAAAATGTTTCAGATTTTGGAGCTTTTCAGATTAGGGATGTTCAACCTGTATTTTGATATAACACCCAGAACATTTGAAGATGAATAATCAATTTTTGGCCTCTCTTCCCCCATCCGCCTCACCGTATACCACTTTAAGTGTGAGAATTATTTGCTTGTACATGCATTTGTCTGTTGGTGTGTAATGTATGTACAGATTGGATGTATCCGGCACTTGCCTTAATAGTACATATATTTACCTGAATAGGAAAACTGCAGTACTTGCTGGCTAGAAGAGCACATCATGCTTGTTTTTGCTCTGACTGAATATCCTGTATTTGCAATTTATAGCATGTTTTAGGGACTCATTAGGGATTTTTGTGTGTGTGTGCCTTTGGTGATTTGAGACAGGTGTCTCAGGTATGGGAAAGGAATGTGACATTGTTTCTTTGCTTCACCTGGCTATTGCTGAAAGGTGGGATGCTTTTGAGGCAGAATAGGAAAGTGCATTGGCTTTGGAGTGAGATCTGGATTTGAATCCTGGTGTTCTTGCCACTTAGGAGTTATATTATTTGCGGCCGGGCATGGTGGCTCACGCCTGTAATCCCAGCACTTTGGGAGGCTGAGGAAGGAGGATCACTTGAGGTCGGGAGCTCGAGACCAGCCTGGCCAACATGATGAAAGCCCATCTCTACTAAAAATACAAAAATTAGCCAGGCGTGATGGTGCACACCTGTAATCCCAGCTGCTCGGGGGGCTGAGACAGGAGAATTGCTTGAACCTGAGAGTTGGTGGTTGCAGTGAGCCGAGATGGCACCACTGCACTCCAGCCTGGGCAACAGAGTGAGACTCTGTCTAAAAGAAAAAGAAAGAAAGAAAAAAAGGGTTGTATTACTCTTTTAGCTGCACTTTCTTATAAGATTGTTGTGAGAACTGGGTAAGACACATGCCAAGTGGTAAATTGCTTGGCTCTTATAAAAGTCTTGGCTACTATCGTGGCTGGGAGGCAAAGGAGATTCAGAGAAGGCCAGAATGACTGCATAAGGTGATCTGCCAGTAACTAGTGTTTCTTTTTTCTTCCTTTCTAGTATAAAGAGATAAAGGACTTTAAGGTCTTAAGCTGGTGAGGGGGTATTGTAGCCTTTGTATGGAAAGGTTTGACTTTTGTCTCTCTGCTTAAACCCCCATTGTGTTGCCCCTAGCAATTATTGTGCTGCCCCCTTGTGGTTAACTGTGCTAAGAACTTTCTTTTGCTCCTCCCGCATTACATTTCTCACCCTTCCCCACTCCCTTTTAGACCCCTCCTCTTAGCTCCCAGTTTCCCAAACTGTGTGCCAAGGTGCCCAGAGCGCCTTAGGCTTGAACTTTTGTTTTGAGGTAGTTCATGGTTTCAACATTAGCTACCTACATCCGTTTCCACAGTGTCATGTCTTTGTAAAGATGTATTTTCAGAGGTTGCTCTGATAAAAAGCAACTAGTACATGAAAATGAATGTAGAACAGGAAATAACTGTGTGGTATTGTCCAATTTGATTCTAAGGTTTGATAAGTTCTACAGTGCTCAAGAGACACTAAGTTGTAAGGACATAACTACTAAGTAAGTTGTTCGAACCTATTTCTTTTGGCCTAGAGGTGTCATGAAAAATTTGCTAAGACTCAGGGCTCCCTGAATGGGTTTGGAAACCTCTGCCTTAGCTTTTAGTTTGCTTTTCTGATAAAATTATTGATATAAAGCTAGTATCAGCTGATCATGGCTTAATATATTTCATCTCCTGTGTAATATGTTTATAACTTCTGCCCGGTTCTTTGATTTTAAAACTAATCCTATTGCTAACTTGTTGTACTAGTCACTTCCTGATTTTTCCTGTACTGGTCTTCTGCTTCTATTTCTGTTCATCTCCTTAAACTCAGAATGCCCAAAGTGAAAGTTACCATTTTCTACCTCTTAATTTTCTTCTAATCATGTAGGCTTTAAATTAGGCATCATCTTTAAACTACTTTTTTCATTTATGCCTTATTCCCATTCAAAATGTCCATATTTCCTTTCTTTCTCGTATCTCTGCTTTCCCTCCTTTACTGTGTGAATCCCAGGACACATTTCCTGAGCCTCGAATATTGAAAGTCATTTGAACTTATGAGAATTCAGTGTCTCTTTCGTTTATCCTCAATAGAGATTCCACTCTAATACTCCTTATTATAGTATTCCCTTGCCCCAAAATCTTCAGTGGCTTACCATTTTCTACTTATTAAATTTTCCTGTCTTTTACGATAGTCTATTATCAATCCCTGCCCTATTTATTTAGTCTTTTGTCTGAGGATCTCTAATCCTTCAGCTTATAAGCTGATTTCCACACTTTCTAGTAACAAGCTATATGTTTCTTCTATCCTTTAATTTTTGCTTATGTTCTCCATCCCTCTTTTTTTCCTCTATTTCTGTAGCTCTTTAGTCTTAGAACATCTTCACATGGTTTAATTATATGCCATGCTTTAGTTGTTTATGATAGTTATTTCCCTAGTGTTAGCCATATCTTTTCAAGTTGATTGTGTATTCTTTGAGGAACAGTACCTTAGATTTAAAAAAAAAACACACACACACACACAATGGAGAGCACGTGGGCAGCATTCAAGAAATAATACATGTTGATTGTGTGATAAGGAACCGTAGTCACCAAACAAATATTTGTTAATATTTGCAATGTAAAAGGTACTTGGCTGTATCCAAAAGAGAAACAAAGAAATACAAAAGAGGTTCCTTTCCCTAAGGACTTACAGTATAATTGGGCAGATAAGCTAAATAATAAAAGTTACAGATATTTGAGACCACTTCGAGTTGAGCAGAGATTTTGTATAATAGGAAGGAACTGGTAGAGGGGGTAAGCAAAGGCAAAATATGTATATATGTATGATATGTTCAGAGAGCAGTACATAAACAACTTGACTGAAATGAAGGTTTGTGTGAAAGAGTAGTAAGAAATTGTGTTAAAAATGTAGTTGGAATTTGATTATGGATGTCTTTAAATGCTAGGATGAGAAGAATGTACTTTGACCTGTAGATACGGAGAAGCTTTAAAAGTTTTGAATTGAGAAAGAGTTTGCTGAAATAAATATTTTAGGAAAATCAAAGCAGCACCAGTGCTAGATCTCACATGAACTGGAAAGAGAAGTGGTAGAGAGAGGTAGGAAAATAATTGAGCCCTGAAGTAATGAGGACTTGGACTTAGTAGAAATAAGTCAGATTGCAGAGCTGTCACAAGACATTATTATGGATTGAATAAAAAGGGAGAATGGACGGGAGAAGAGTGATTAAAGATTACCTTACCTTGAAGGTTTGCTCTTCAGTGACAGAGGAAATCAAAGAGTGTTGGAACTCCAAGACAGCTTAGAACATCTAAGTCAGTCTATATACTTTGTATATTAGGACTCAGACCAGAGAGACTTAAAATGTGTCCAAAGTTACTCAGTTAATGACAAAGAAACTACCATTTGATTAATGGCAGTTAGTAACAAAAATAGTTATGGCAATATTAGTAGCTGATAGAGGGGATGTAGACAGTTGAGCCTATATTGTGGATATGTTGAGTTTGCGGTGGCCGTGGGATGGGCAAGTGAAAATTGATAGCCTACAGTGGGACATATGACTAGAATTTGTTAGCGAAATTAAGGCTGGTGCTGTGGTACTTAAGAGAAAAGAGTAGTGGACCTGAGATTGAGCCTTGGGGATTGTGCATAATTAGCAGGTGGGTGAAAGGAGAGAAATGGGTAAAGGAGACAAAGAAAAAACAGTTAGCATGAGAGAGGCAAATTAGTGGATAGGTTAGGAGGTGGAATGATCAACATGTTGGTCATTGGCAAGAAATGAGAAAAATCAGATCCAATAAATGGTCTTAAAAATATGTACTAGTGTTTTTGCTAATATGAAATCTATAAAAACAGAAGAAAATTGCTTATACTTTCCCTATGTGGAAATAGCCACTGTTAATATTTTGTTCTCTTCGGTTTAACCAAAGACCTTTGGATTTGACAGTTGGATGATCAGTGAAGACTTTTCCAAAGCTCTCCATCACTAGGACTAAGGATGAGAATTTTAGGCATAATAAAACCTGGGAGTTATTTTTCAACAGATTGTCATTTGTTTGTATCCTCTTACATATCACACTATCTAGGTACTATTCTTTCTATGTGCATTGGTTCTGTGTATTATCTGAATGATAGGAGGTTAGACAAGCCATCTCTGGGTGCTTCTGTGCTGGTAAAATTTGAATAAAGTGATAAAATA